TTAATACATTTTTTTTTCTTTTCTCACAGTGGTTGCCTGGAAGAGATCGCTCGAAAGCGATAAGGCCGCCAGTTGCCTTTCCTTTACATGTAAATTTGTTAAATTTTTATACATATTATAAAGCAACAAAGTGTACATAAATAAATAAAATAAATAAGTCCTTACTTCATGATTATACCTGTTAAATGACATAAGGGTCTAAGAATAAAAAATAAATGGTTTTTGACATACGACTGTGTAATGAATGCATCCATGGAATTGGAACATTTATTTATTTCCACATAATTACTATATCTTAAAAGTTACTACGAATACGATAGAAGGACACAACAAACTGCTTAGGGAAAAAGGCCGGCAACGCAAGCCCTCTGGCATTGAGTGTGTCCATGGCCGGTGGTATCACTTAACATCAGGTGAGCCTCTTGCCCGTTTGCCCCCTGTTCTATATGACATAGTATAGACTGAAATATAATTAAACCGATAGATAGCATTGTTTCTAGTTTTACTTTGAGTGAGACAGACATTTCAATCTAGCCACCGCAGACTTCTGCAAACCTTGTTTTTTTATATAATAGGGGGCAAACGGACTCACCGCCTACGTGCTACCGCCCATGGACACTAAGATTGCCAGATGGCTCGTCGATTGTGTAAATTTTTTACCTACCTCTTTTAAATTTAAAACTCTTTGTACTAAGTAACTTTTAGAGATAAACTCTGATATAACATCAGATGAGCCTTCTATAAAAATAAAATAATATTCGAATTGATAATGTGTACATTTTACGTTTTATCTTGAAAGATTTTTTTATCTAGCAAGATAAATCTCTGTGGTTTTGTATATTGCTTGCAAAATCTAATATATTAAATTCTCGTGTCACAATGTTCGTGTGACACGAGAATTTAATTTTCATTAATTTTTCGTTCCCATACTCCTCCGAAGCGGCTGGACCGATTTTTAAGGGTGGTCCCCTAAATTTTAATATTTCAATATTTTTTTATGATAAAGCATACAAAAATACATACAACCCTTAATTTTCAACCCTCTACGATCAACCCCTATGTTTTATTTGTTAATTAAAATCGTATGACTTGAACTCTGAGGTTTGATAGAGAAAAATTCTCAGAAAAACCTAAATGTTACAGTTTGGTAAGAATTTCGATTAACCGCTAGGCGCTACTATTAATCAGTATTCGCCAATATTTAAACAGACCATAATTAATTACTTTAAATGTAATCCAGTTAATAAAATTGAATGCCAATTAAACCAATTGTATAAACAAAAAGCGGTCATGTTTTTTTAACACGTTCACTGCGCCATCATTTTAAAGAACTTTCAGCTGGTGCTTTGGAGACCTAAAAGATCTCGTAACAAGCCTATCCCTTGGTGCGTTTGAGACCTAATCAGTCTCCTTAAAATACACATTTGTAAATAATTTATATCTTCCAAAAAAACAATGACAAATATTTTGAAGTTTTTGTGGGTGAAAGATAGCTAATTGCTTAATATTTTGCTAGGTTCGCACGCAGTTACATTTGAATAAACTACAAAAACCAAAAAAAAAAAATTAGATATCGATTGTATCTCGTACCGCAACCGAAGATAGTTCAATATGTGTAGTAAGTAGTGATGGGAATAAAATCATATCTCAGTTATCGATTCTAAAAGTTTTATTAATTATGCAAAGTGTTTTTCATTAAAACATGGTAAGCACATTGATTGCATGCACATTACGCGCAAATGGTAACAATTCGTTTAGTTTTTTTAGAAGCGTCAGTGCTGTTTAACTGCGTGTGCTCCAACGAAAACGGTTCATAGTTTTCATGGGGGGCAAATTTGAACATTTTCCAAAAAAAATATTTTACTGGATGATGCAGCAGTATAATCCGGCGTTGATATTTTGTAAGAAACCTCACCAAAATAAATAGATTTTTACACTTTTTTCTTTTAAAAGCACTTATTGTTTATTAAAAATAATCAACACGTATATACGCGAGTGTTATTTCCAAAACGAGCCCGCGACCCAAAACGCGAACGTCCCATGTCGATTCTAGGACAACACTAAAAATCCCATCCTCCCTCTCTTGCGTCTACGAGGCGTACGATTTCACGAGTACCGACATATCTCCTAACGCAAGGAATTAAAACAATTACAGTACTGTGCGTTAGGGACCTAATCCATCTCTAATTTGTTTTTAATTATCGTTGAATTCAGCTTTAAGTAGGAAGCAAATATGTATATTTGTCCTGCTCATACTTAAATAACTTTACAAGTTAGATCCTCCCGCAAGGAGAGAAAAAACACGATTATGTTCAACGCACAATACAAAAGTCCAGCAAGAGATCTGATAGATCTCGTAATGCAGCGAACGTGTTAATTGTGAATAAAACAATTATAAATATGAGACAATAAAATCATTTGTGGTTTACCCATATTTAAATTATTTTAAAACTTGAAAAATTCTTTAAAATCTTGCTGGCGGAAATAGCGCGGTTAGTAACCGTAAATGGGTTTTTGCAATGGAGTGCGTGTGCATGGTGCAAATACCGTAGTCCGTACGTCTGTGAAGGTAATGAACATAACTTTAAACTTACTCAACTAACATAAGAATATAGTTATGTATATATTTATATGTAATGTATATATAGTGTTGCAAACACACAAATCTACAGTATTTACAATTTTCTTAACTTATGTAGTAATAATAATAAAAATTAATAAATAGAAAATTAAAACAAATTTAAATAGTTTGGTCCCTGTGTCACCTTTAACGCTGGCAGCATTTCCTAGCTGTATTGCGATACTTATTCGTTGAGCAAGGAAAGCACCAGCTCTGGGGTCACCAGTACCAGGCGCCAACTTAGTAACATGAGAAATAACACAGCGACCGTCTACTCAAAAATAAGTTTTAATAAACAATCTTTAGTCATATATATATACTAGCAGACCGGCCAAGCGTTGCTGTGGCTAAGGTTTATGTTATATTACATACGGTAGGAGAACACCAGTCATGGAGACCACCATGCTTTTTTGGTGGTGCCATTAAATTGTAGCTTATGTGAAACGTTGGTAGGTTCTTTCAACACAGCGCCATCTGCTAGAATTGGAACTATCAAATAATAAACAAATATTTTGCAATAAAATAATATTGCGGTATAAATTGAGATGTAAGCTATCCTATCTTTTAAGTAAGATCAAACTGCACACGGTGTGCAAATTTAATTGAAATCGGTTCAGTAGTTTAGGAGTCTATAGCGGACAAACAACGTGACGCGTAATTTATATATGTATTAAGATAAAGATTTACGTGTGTATTCAAACTTTATTTTTTGAGTAGTGTTGTTAGCTTCAGCATGCGCCTCTCATTCCTGAGGTCGTAGGTTCGATCCCCGGCTGTGCACCAATGGACTTTCTTTCTATGTGAGCATTTAACATTGGCTCGAACGGTGAAAGACAACATCGTGAGATATCCGGCTTGCCTTAGACCCAAGAAGTTGACGGCGTGTGTCAGGCACAGGAGGCTAATCACCTACTTGTCTATTAGATTGACTAATGGTCATGAAACAGAAACAGAAATCTGAGGCTCGGATCTAGTAAGGTTGTAGCGCCATTGATTTATTTTTAACAACTTGGTACCAAACCTGTCCAAACGTAACACACAAACTATGTCAAATTAATCAAATGTCAATAAGTTTTGACATAATATAGTAGTCTCACACAGGAATAACGACAACATAGTCGGGGAATTAGCTAGAATATATATATATATATATAAAAAAAGGAATCACACACTTTTAAGTGCAGTTTTAAATATTCAATGAACACAATACAGTACAATATACTTTTATAGATTTATCACGCAACGAGAATTATTTGAGATATTTCAATATTAATATCACACTTCGCACAATTGGTCTATGCTCATTTTAATATGTCATTTGGTTGCGTTCACTTGTCTTGGATAATATGGTAAGGTAATATTTTTTGTCACTCTCACACAGTTTTTTTTTTCCCCCTTTATGGCTCTGGCACGGTTTGTGCATTAGCCAGCGTTAAGTATAAGATTTTTTATAATTCGACCGTGTGCTCCATGTACGGTTTAAGCACTCGCCCGGTACCGCACAACCCTCCCAAAGGCCGAGAACAAATTTAAATTAAATTAAAACTTGCCCTCGAACCGGGAATCGAACCCGGTACCCCTCACCTAGCTGCCACTTAATAAGACCGCTAGGCTATGAGGCCCTTACACAGAGATTCATCTTTATTGTACAATATTTTAATTAAACATAAACAAAATAGTGGTGACTTTGTCATTTGTTCATTTGAAATCTGTTTCCCGCGTAAATGCGTGACAGAGGAACGCTTTTTTTTTGACAATTTACAAATTTGCGTTTACGTTTCAAGAATTTTGCTTTTATTAGATCATATATCGAGTTTATTAAATTCGTCATTATAAAGGCTGTTTCGTTATTTATTTATTTCGTAAAGTTAAAATTATGAAATGTGCTGGCACACTTAATAGTTGAATTTAAGTTTTTGACTTGTTTATGGTCAAAATAGAAAAGTACATATACAGCAAGTAGATTCAATACAGTGAAAGCAAGATATTTATGTTCATATAATGCTATTATAAAAAATCAGCGGCGCTACAACCTTTTTTCATAATCATTTATCTATCCGTCGCCTTTTTGGGTCTAAGGCAATTCGGTTTCCTTACGACGTTTTCGCCGTTCCAGCCAATGTTAAATGTGTACATAGAAAGTCCATTGGTGCACAGCTGGGGATTGAACCTACGACCTCACGGATGAGAGTAGCACGCTAGGCCAGCACTACTCATCGAAATGTGACTCAAGTAATTGGATATTCCAAAAGTTTTGACATACAGAAATAAAACTCTGCGCTTAAGGGAATTTCAGCGTCGGCAGTGAGAAATGATAATAACACTAAAAATAAATTGATGATTTTTGTTACAGTTTTGTGTGTAAACGTGAAGAAACAAAATGGGGTATCTGCGACAGTATCAAGTTACATTGGCATGTGAGTAAATTTTATAAATCATTGATGTTGTCGACTTATGAATGGTCGAAAAGGTCTTTGAGTATTTTTAATAATGTACACATATGTGACAGCTCTGTTAACGCAATATTTAATCTGTGTACTGTGTGAATAACTGTCAAACAAATTCGTAGATAATAACATTTTATTTTTAATTTTATTTCTAAACATTTGGTCAAAATTGACCTCATTTTATTTATACACAAAAACACCAAAACAATGTTATCATTAACGTGTACCTAATGTTTAATATATATATATATAATGTATAGCAGGAAATAGGCACCGCAAGCGTACGGCAAGTATAAAGCGTAACGCGTGATAAAAACAAAATATTTTAAAACAATAAACCTGTAATAAAATAACAAATTGTAGTAGTGTACGGCTGGCTGTACATTTTGCTCATTCAGACTTTCTTAGTTTTATAAGCGATTACCGAAATCGTCGGAGTTACGCCCTAAGAGTACAGCCAGAGCCACTCTCTTTAACTGTTACATTGCATTCATTCGTTACATAGCAATTAACATTTCATTATTTATTTAGACATAGAATTATTTATTACAAACAAATCACACACATACATAAACACAGAAAATAACAATAATCAAAGAAAACAAAATTAAATAAAAGATATAATGAGAGATATATAATAACATTTTTGTTCGTTTTCCCATTCAGTTCGTTTCAAGTATGTAATGCGTGTGTCCTGTGGCTGTAATTGGCCCTGGCTCAGCATTCTGCTGAGGAGCAGAATGTTCCACAGCGCTGGTCATTCTGCCAGAGACCACATCACGCTATTACGCTTATAGTCTATTGTTGTACGTGAATGGTTGATATAGAGTGAAACTAAAATCCTCTATTATTTAAAGCACCCCGATGACCCAGGAACTGTACAAGTTGTATGTCGCTTCATTTCGTACTACATATATGTCAAACTCACAAAACCACCTACCCTCGTTTGAAGCCCGAAAACGCGAGGAGGAAAACAATTTTTCTTTTGGGGTAGAGACTCTAGGTTTGTGTGGTTCAGGTACACAGGCGCTATTTAAATATTTAAGTTGGTATATAATGCCGGTGACCCCAGAGCTGAAGCTCTCCTCGCTCAGCGAATAAGTATCGCAATATAGTGAGAAAATGTAGCATTAAATGTGCAATGGAAACCAAACATTTGAAATTTATTTTTTTGTCCTTTTATATTTTTATCATCTACATCAACTAATAAAATATATTTTAATTTGAATAAGTTACACTAAAACCTATGTTTTTTTTATAAATATGACACTTACTAAAATTTTCATGTAATTCCTTTATTAGTTTAGTTTTTTTTTCTCAATAAATGTATTATGTATTTTTACACTTCTTGCCTACCTCATCTAATTTTGTACATTTTTTTTCTTTTCTTACAGTGGTTGCCTGGAAGAGATCGCTCGAAAGCGATAAGGCCGCGAGTGTCCTTCTTTATATTTTGTTAAATTTTTATATTGTAATGCAACGAAGTGTAAATAAATGAAATTGCTTACCTACCTACCTACATATTAAATAGTGAATGTACAAGATAACACATGTTATATAAGTTAGACAAACGCAGCAAAAAAGCTGTCATAAGTTCATTGCCCTCGTTAAGTTCGGTGGGTGTTGTTGCAGATATGTTCAAATATGTTAAATGAGTTTGTTTGAAGCTATCAACTTACTTTAAGCATTTAAAATATGAGCTTATAACTAACATAAAATTAGGGGTAGTGGGGTTGCGACGCTAACAAAAACGAACTTAGCTTATTGGGGTTCATAAATCTAAGTGATACTTCAATATAAGTATAGTCGAACTTTTTGAAAATTATCGGAAACAAGAATGTTGTATTACAATTTATGAGTGTGGAATAATCTAAAGGGCTCATTTTGGCTTCAAATGTGCGACGATTAATACTAAAATATAATTATACATGTAACTTAACTAACGTTAGGTTACATACCTTGCTTTTTAATGTTTAATTTTACAACTAAAATAATTATGTGACAGTATCCTAACTTATAGCAAACTTATAGCTAACCTAACAGTTTTGGATGCAGTTTTGTTCTTCAATCCCTATCCGTACTAATTATTACAAGGCCGGCAGTGCACTCGCGATCCTTCCGGCATTGAGTGTCCATATCACTTAACATCAGGACATTCTCAATGTCCCATGGTACATTAAAAATGAAAGTATCCACAAGGATCTGAATGTGGATACAGTAAAAACGGCGAAACGGTTTGCCTTAGCTCACTTAAACAGGCTACATAGCCATGGGAATGCTGAAGCAATCCAAATTCTTGCGTGATAGGAATAAGACGCCTAAAGAAAACTAAACCTTTTGAGTTAATAAACCTAGTGTAGTGATTAGTGCAAGTGCGATATCTCCGACACATGAACATAGTGTCAAAATGTTATAGAACACTAAGGGTCTGTTTCACAACTTACGGATAAGTTCTACATAAGTTCCAAATTAGCTATTTATTACTTATTGGTAGGATAAACACTATTGTTGCGTTTCACAACTATCAGATAGCGCTATTCGTGACATAAAGTCCATCATAAGTTATGAGTCCGATGTAGTGTCAAATAGCACAATTTATCTTCCAAATAATTTATGTGTTGCATAGCTGTTTGATACTTTATCCATACATTGTGAAACAGACCCTTAGACTGTTAATGAACATTACCTTAGTTTAAGTTTAATTATAGTATTGTAGAAAATTAGGTCAATATAATATTACTTATTAGCCATAATTATTGTATAGGCTAGATTGTAATTCATGTAAAGTCACACACGTTTTTTGTGAAATTTATTGTAAGAAAAAAAAACTTAACATCAGATGAGCCTCCTTCCCGCTTGGCTGTTATCTATAAAAAGAGCTGGTATCGATTTTTTTAATGAATACCTACTGGAACGTGGTTTCAAGAACAAGGAAGCTACCGCAGCGCCTTTAGGGTAATTTTTCTTATATCAAGCGATAAGATTCGTTGTTTGGAGAATGTTATCTAACTCTTGACATTACGTGCGGTGACTTCAGTGTTATCAGTTATTAAGAGGCGTTGTATGAATAGTACAATAATATCTATGCTAAACGCATAAATGCTATATTGTATTCTATTATCTTACTGCAATGTTCTAGGGGCAAGAATTATCTAGTGGTGATAAAGCTGGACAACTGATGCATCAAAATGCAAAACTGATGGAAAATAAAATATGTTTATTATGGAACATAAGATACATGTATCACTTATTCCACGTCATTAAATTTGAAGGCATCCCTACTCATCGGCAAAGAAGACAGAGGGTGTAGGCCGAGAGAAAAAGCCGGCGTAAAAAACTCTCGGTACTCTTTTAAAACAGCAAATCATCAAACAACACTTATTTAAAACAAATATCGCAAATTAATTAGAAGTAGCCTGTCTAGCACTAGTCCCAGGCCCTTTTATCAACTAGATAATCGTTGACTTTATAGTAAGCCTTTTTACACAGCTTTTCTTTAATACATTTCTTAAATTTATTGAAAGGCAGTGATAAAAGAGCCTCTGGGATTTTATTAAATCCCTTTCCCCAAAAAAGAATTACTAACTTTAGATAGTCTAGTACGGGGAAATTGCAGCCTGCGTTTGTTCCGTGTATTAACATTGTGCGTATGTTCTATTCTAGTAAACTTATCACTATTTTTGTATACATTCATAATATTTTCATAAATATATTGCGAGGGAAAGGTAAGTATATTAATTTCCTTGAATTTATCTCTAAGAGATTCCCTACATTTTAAATTATAGATTGCACGAATAGCCCTCTTCTGCAGGATGAAAATAGTTTCGACATCAGCAGCATGACCCCATAATAATAAGCCATAAGTCATTAAGCTATTGGTCTAAGATCCCGCTATACAACGACCTTCACCGAGATGCTTATTTAATGAAACTTATTTTATATATAATTTAATATGTCAATAAATATAATCCATATGGGTTGCCTAGCAAATTTCAGTCCAGAGTATGTTTAATTAATTTAAAAAAAAATATTTTTTTAAACATTTCACCGGTATGATTATTAGATAAATTCTATACCAATCGAACGTATGAAGCCCATAGAATATGCAAACGTTAGGTTGTTTTTAATCAATTAATTATTTATGTGTATTTTTTTTATGTGACACTAAAGTATATATACATCTTTAGTATAAAAGAAGGTTATAGTGATACATATATAATACTACCCTGATTAAAATATTGATTGAAAAAAGTTCAAAAATTTACTACATGCAAATTATAAAAAAAAATATTTTTTTTTTATATTAATTAAACATACTCTGGACTGAAATTTGCTAGGCAACCCATATGGATTATATTTATTGACATATTAAATTAAATATAAAATAATTTTCATTAAATAAGCATCTCGGTGAAGGTCGTTGTATAGCGGGATCTTATACTATATGAAAGTAACTAAAATAAACAAGTCTAGCTGTATCGACATCAGTTAGTGAGCGAATTTTTTTAACCGCGTAGGCTGCAGAACTAAGTCTCTTCGCCAATCCGTTAATATGAGGGGACCACTGAAGTTTTGAATCCATGGTGATTCCGAGAAATACAGTTGTATCATCCAGATTCAATTCCTCACCGTTTATAATTGGTCTAGTATCCATAACCCTTGCATTTTTTGCACAAAATTTAATGCATTTTGTCTTTTTTGCATTAAGTAGAAGGTTATTCATACTAAACCAATGGACAATCGAAGACAGAGCATTGTTCACATCGTCAAACATGCCGAAGTATTCCCGAACCAACACTTAGGGTCCTTCAAGAAAAGTTCGTAGCAATTCTTTAAATAACGCAACGCACTTGCGAGCTCTACCACTTAACAAGTAAGGCTCTTGTCCGTTTGCCCCCATTACATATTAAAACATATATATATATATATATTTACAGGTTCCCTCGGCAACTTCATCATAGGCATAATTTTTGTCTGGCCATCTTATACATTAAAACTATATACATCTGCTAATACCACCTTGCTGGACGAACCGCTGTCAGACATGCAGAGTGCGCTGGTGGGCAGTTTACCCAGCCTAGGGGCTATGGTCAGTACCATGTTTGCTGGGGTCATGCTGAACACTCTTGGAAGGCAAAAAGTTGGCTTGTGCGTTGCTATGCCCTTCTTGGTACGTAATTACCACATTTCTAACTTTCCACCACCACCAAGTTTCTAACCTCATAAATAGAGGATGGAGAGAAGTTTAAAAAAACTGTAATTATTTCCGAAGACTTCTTTCAATTGCTTTATTGACCTGAGGAAAAAAGAATTTGGATTTTGAATTTAATTTATTTTTCAATGAGTACCCTCAACTTATGTTGGATTAAAATTTTATGAGGGTAGATATGAATATTTGTAATTTGACTTGAAACATTGGAAAACATTATAGGGATTAAACATGCTTTGTGGTTTTTTTTGTTCAGAAGTATTTTTCTACTTATTTGCTCTGTATTTTATTAAAGAATCGAATTCGATTCGGTCAACAAGACTTGTTTTAAAAATTGAAAAACCGACGCCATAAATGGCCGTGTATGGGACTTCAATAATATCTCTTTTTAATTTTCCAGCTCTCGTGGTTATTGATCGACCTCAGTTCGTCGGCTACATTGCTACTCCTGGGCAGATTTCTATCAGGCCTGGCATGTGGAGTATGTTTTGTCCTAGCCCCTGTGTTCATATCCGAAATCGCTGATCAATCGATTCGGGGATCGCTCGCTGCTGGTAGGTTATTTAAAATTCATCCAATCGTCGTTCAGTAGCCTGACTTTCAAACAGATTGTACTCCGGAGAATGCTCCATGGAGCTACACAACCTAATTCCGTCATCCTCTTTCAAACAACGCTCATCTAAAAGCACGCTGGAGTTTCACCAGCTCGTTGTTGACATCCCTAGTGCGGCTAGCACTTCACGATAAAAATTGTCGTTTCTTGTTAAAACAGCAAAGGCAACTCCCTTCCATCATCTGTAGTAAATTTAATATGAGTTAAATAGGCATCGCCTGGACAGGCGCTCCAATAGGCCGCATCTTATTTAACATCAGTTGGGATTGTGGCTATCCAGGGGGTTTAGTCAAGACACCTTAAAATGACAGTTCATGTCGACAAATTTTCATACAAATTTAGTTTAGACTTTCTACATACACTACTGTTAAGGCATTTTGACTAAACCCCCAGTTCTGTATAAAACAGAATCATGATAATATAAATTAAAATTTACCCATATTATATAATTGTATCAATATAAAGGACCGAATTCTTAACCAAGCGCTTTCCAATTGAGATTGCTTATTGGCATAAAAGCCACGTGCTGCAATGATGTACTGTATATTTAGTGGTAAATTTTGTACATTGTGAGAAACAATTGTGTTTCATAACTTTGCGATTTTTTATCATATTGCAGCACCTACAGCATTCTACTGTTTCGGAGTATTAATGTCATTTGTGATGGGCTGGACGCTGTCTTTCAAGTACATAATTTGGACAAATATATTCATCTGTGTACTTTATGCTGCTCTAATATTATCAGTGAAAGAGAGCCCTGTGTTTTTACTGATGAAAAATAATGAAGAGGTAACTATGTTTTTACTTTTAATGGCGCCACAATCCTATATGGATTGAATCTGAATTAATAATAATTTTCTCCGTTCGTAGACAAGTTAGCACTGGTCATGGAGTTTTCAAATCTCAGACTCAAAGAACTGAGTTTCCTCTATGTAGTCTGTATCTTTGGTAAATTTGTGAAATCACCGCACCACCTTAAAACAGCTCCAAATTTTTTTCTTCATATTTTCATCACTCTGCAACGGTACCATGCCTTAATGTGGTGGCGTATGCTCTAACCCCATAGAAATTAATTAAAACTTCATGATTTGTGATTTGAATGAAAGAATACATTTAAAACCCAACCTAACCAAACCTGATCACACATAAAATAAAATAAAAAGGGTCCGTGTACTTATGTACGCGCGTAAGAAGTTATACTTCTTTGGCAATATTAAAAATAGTTTGGCTTTGTTCCACCTCCAGTTTTTGATGTTTAAGATGAAAACTCTTTTTTTGTATTCAATTTAGTGCAGTTACACTGATTCATCAATTGTTTTTTGTCTCTTTTCCTTATATTTGCTAGATAAAATCAGAAAAATTACATGTTTTGATTAAACAATGTGGGTAATTTTTTAATCAAAACATTACTCGATAATAATAATAATACATACGGATAGTTAACCTCAATTGTATTGAAGCACTTAGGAAGGTTGATGAGCACAGTTTTTTCACAAATATTAATTAGTATTGGTTTAAATATTCAATTTAAATCACTTCTGATTATAATTCAAAAGCATCGCTAAATTTCTTTGAAAAAATAATTAAAACTCCTTTATTTGTTTAAAAGGTAAATGACAAATGTCATTATGGTCATTCAAAATTGTTGGCATACGAACTTCACGCATATTCTATTTCTTTTTACTTGTAGATTGTCTTATTCCTATCTCGCTCGCGCACGCTATAATCACACTCCTAATTTTGTGTCACGGGTGCGCGCGCATTGTAAAATTTCACTCTCATAAATTTTTCATAACGCGCCTAAAGAAGTATAACTTCAAAAAAACCTAACATATCCAAATATTGGTTAAAGATTGAAGGGCCTCTGAACGAAAGCGTTTCTGTGTGTTTTTTTAAAAGTTGTAGCAGAAATGATTCTATAACCATAACAGTTGTAAAGTCTTTACTCTGAATGAACCCAAGACATGACAGTTTCCTCAAGCAGTTACAATTTTTCATCAATTCAAAATTATTTTCAGGAGGCAAGGAAGTCTATAGCATATTACAAAGGAATGTCCGTGGACTCAAAACCAGTGTTGGCAGAATTGTCGAGACTAAAACAACAATTGATGCCAGCCTTTGAGCTTATGACTGTAACAGCTGGTATGATCCTATAATAATACAGAAATTTGTGGGTAGGCGTAATTTTTTCTTACGCAAAATGTATACAATTTGTATCTACCCTCCGGCGAAACGGATCGGAGTTTCGTTAAAGTTGTGTATCCTCCGTAGTGTTAAGGATAGCCACAAAATATTTTTTTAAATAGCGATATTAGTTTTATAATAATCCTGTGTACGTCCATGTGAGTTGTGTATTGTATTGCGGGCTCCTAAAGAAGTTGCATGGATCTGATTCTCATGCTATACACGTGTAAATTTTTACGTGAGAACGTCCAATAAATCGATGAATGCTGGCTGCACCCACGAAAAACCATGACTCATTGTCGCGTTATGCTTATTGTCCCACTTGTCCTACTTGTGAAAACATGTTTTTTCTCACATGTTTTCATAAGTATCTTATATTCTCTCTTCTCTTTTTAAAATCAATCAATGGATTCAATGGCTCTTTAATTTTTTTTCCTTTCTGAAACTGAAAATGATAGAAAACTCAAATCATAAAGCAATATTATAGTTTTTAGTTTCTGCTAATGCTAGTTAATAACAAGCAGCTTGATATGCTTACAGATGGGAAAATAGATGAAGCAGAGAAGGAAAAGCTCAATCCACACCAAGCTGATGTTAACACAGAGAAAATGCCACCCTTCAAGATGTTGTGTAAGTATTTTTTTTTTAATGTAAGAAGAAAGAAAGAAAGGCAACTGTTTTGTACCTGTCTCTGTGCTAAATAGGCCGGCACTTGCCTTATGGCTTATGTGATGTCTATGGGTGGCAGTATCTCTTATATGAGCCTCCTGCCTTACTCTCTATCTCGTGGTGATTAATATGGAAATGTATCGCTCATGCGCTGATATAAACTATTCTAATGTAACGATTAAAAGGCCGGCAACGCACTTGCGAGCATTCTTGAATTGTTAGTGTCCACGGTATCACTGAACATCAGGTGAGCCTACTGCCTGTTTGTCCCGTTATATGAAAAAGTAAAAGACCTTGCAGAAAAGTTAGTTAATATTAAGTTTTTGTTTGTAATTTTCAGTATTTTCTGCGACATCAAGACGTGCGTTTACCGTTGTGGCAATCACAATTTCATTTCAAGTAAGTATAAAATATAGCCGCAGATAATAAATGATCCACAAAAAACTCAAGTATAGTCAAGCGTAAACGATAAATAAATAAAAGTAGGTACTTGTTTTTAAAAGCGGTGTAAAAGGTGGATAATAAAAAGAGTAACACTGTCCAAAAAGTTTTGTCCAAAATCTGTGCCCTTATAGCTATGGAAATAAAACATTATTAGTACTAGGTTATGCCCTTGTATTTTCTATCTTCCTTCGTGGATAATCTTAGCACGAGAAAGGATTCTTTTGAAATTGAGTGCTGGAGGCGGATGTTTATTATGATTATATAATATACTATATATATATATATATAGACATATGATTATATTTTTTAAATATTATAGGTATTCTCTATAGTAAGTTAATCAGATGTTAGGTTAGGTTTTACACAAGCACTTGAGACATAACCCCTTTTTGACCAGCGTGATCCACAAACGCTAAATGACATTAGCTCACCCTTTGTCACGTGACCATTTTCATACAAGTTTGTTTGGCGTGAGTGAGTCACGCCTGACGTATAGTGATCTTGTCTTGAACCCAAGTGCCCAAATTTAGTTGCTGATCCATTACTAGACAAGTGTGTTGTAGCATTATTTTTTTAATGCCTTCAGGTTATGATGGGTATGGTGGCAGTCCAAGTGTACGCGGAGGAAATATTTCAGCGTGCAGCTCCAAGTCTCTCTTCGGACATGTGCTCAGTCCTCTTCGCTCTTGTACTATTGTCCGGTTGTCTCTCTTGCGCATTTTTCTCCGATAAATTTGGAAGAAAGGTAAGGTGTTTTTAAGTATCAGAATATTTAACAGTGACGTCAAAACCCATACTATAATCGTGGACTCCGTCATTGATAATCACAAATTCTGTAGTGACAAAAATATGCACTTCTTATATTAAATAAATAAAAATAAATCAGTGGCGCTTCAACTTTTTTTAGGTCTGGGCCTCAGATTTCTGTATCTGTTTCATGATCATTTGTTAATATAATCGGCAAGTATGTGATCAGCCTCCTGTGCCTGACACACGCCGTCGACTTTTTGGGTCTAAGGCAAGCCGGTTTCCTCACGATGTTTTCCTTCACCGTTCGAGCGAATGTTAAATGCGCACATAGACAGAAAGTACATTGGTGCATAGCTGGGGATCGAGCCAACGACCTCAGGGATGAGAGTCGCATGCTGAAGCCACTTGGCCAACACGGCTCCACTTCTTATATTAGGTATGATTATTTTTGAGAGTGTTATAATTTTTATTTTATTTAATTTTTGCTCTCAAACATCACAAATCTTACAAGGAGGATAATCAGATACTTATGAATTAGTCTAGTCGACAAGTTGAAAATGGAACAAAATAGAGATACTGCTCTTAAAATTATGTGCGATAGCTCATTGGATCTTTAACTTGTTGAAAAATTAAGTTTAAGTAAAATTTTTAACGGGAATAAATTAATTATAGTGTTCAGAATACACCATATTTTTTTCAAATTTAAAAAAAAATATTCAATACCTTAAATAAATTAATTAATGTGCCGTAGTCGCTTTTGACGCCACGCGCGAATCCTAAAAATGTCACCCGCAGACCTATTTTCAGCGTTAAATTAAAATTATAAATAATGGAGATAGAGTTCCGGGAGTTAGGAGTTTTTTATTGGAAATTTCCTCCTCTTTCAGAATCTTTTGAAATTTCTTAAATATTGGCAAAAAACTAAATGCCATTTTTTTTTCATCTTTAATTGTTTATAACTTTTGCAATTTTTTATGTGCTAATACACGCTTTTAGCACATTTTTCTAGACGTCATTCCGGATCCAATGAGCTATCGCACATAATTTTAAGAGCAGTATCTCTATTTTGTTCCATTTTCAACTTGTCGACTAGACTAAATATATGTTATAGAAAGGATATAATAATAATAATATAACCTTTATATTGGGAAACTCTGTGATCTTTAATATATTTTCACTACAGTTATCTTAGAGTTCGCTGTGCCTCTTGGCAAAGGCCACCTCTAACCCGTACCACTGTTATCTATCCTTTGCGACTCTTCTCCAGTTGTTGCCAGTTGTTTATTGATAGAAAGAATAAACATGTGTGAAAATAACATGAGAACTTAAGATCCAGATGCATGTAGTCAAATAGTCCGCAATATCGCAACACACAACAAACGAAGGGACTTTGTATTGAAGAAGTCGCATGGGTCCGCCAAGCATCCGCGAATATACACTGTTAATACATAATTATGTAGAAATAAAGAAAATAATATTAATAGCAGATAATTTATACAACTTTCTAAAACGACTCGGCGAAAGGTCTCTGATGGAGTTGCTGAAAATGTCCACCGAGTCATTTTTCATCACAGTTTCATTGAAAGGTAATTGTAGGTCAACCGGAACCGCTTGCACACAAAGCTTTAAGCCCACACGGAGTACTGTTGTACCTTTGAGCGAGAGCTCCCCAGTACCAGCTCCATCCACTTCGCCGTGGATGTGTAGTTGTAGAGAGTAGAGATGTAGTCTAGGTCTCTCTGCATCTTCAACCGCAATTACGGAGAGTTCTCATGCTTAATACATTGTTTCTAGCCCCTCATCATTGGATCTTCCGTGGGCGTGACGCTGTGCCTCCTTAGCATGGCCTTCTTGATGCAGACCAACATTGGACCAGCTTGGGTGATTGCTGTATTGATCCTGGTCTTCTGTTTCTCATTCATGTTTGGAGCTGGATCGGTGCCTTATGTTCTACTGGCGGAGGTCTTTTACCAGAGGTATGTATTTATAAACTTTAAGTAAGTTGGGTAAGGGTCGACGTGCCGCTAAGTATGACTCCCGTATGTCTCTGTCTATGTGTAATACCGTAATGGACTTGACATACTCAGTCTAGACTCGGGATTATATCCTCACTATTGTGGTAAATGTATAGAGATTAACTATTTCTGTATGTAATTCATATTATTTCATTTTAAATTTCGAATATTCATATGCAAGAGAATGATAAGACTCATAAAAGTTAGTGAAAAGTTACATTTGACACATTAACTTTTGTTGGAAATCTTGTCACTTCCATCACACGTGAAACTAACTACATACATTTATTTGTATTTATTTACTATATAAGTGCCTGTTGTTGGCTACTGTTGGTTGTGGAGCACGGTGTAATATATCGTGTAAGAACAAAAAAACTGGAAATATTAAAAAATATGTTATGGAATTATTTTGTTACGGAAGAGCTGGGAACCCTGTTACAGGTTTTCACTTAAAGTGAAAAACTGTGTGATTCCCAAATCTTACACATTAAAATGCATCATTATAAATAAACAACACAATATTATAAAAAAAATCGGTGATTAGAAATACTGGCAGACCTTCATGTCTGTTCTTCTCATCTGTTCTATGCCCTTATTTTGTATGCTGGCAGTAAATTAAGCATGATTTTTTTTGACATTCATAACATTCATTTGAAGTAACCAAAATTGTGACTCAATTCTCGTCACTTCTTTCAGGTACAAAACCTCGCATCAATGCTCCTACTGGAACTTGTCTGGCTTCTCAACTTCGGTCTGGTTGGAGTTTTCCCCTTCATGATCAAGTTCTTAGGCATCCACGGGTCCTTCTACTTCTTTGCCGTATTTGGAGTATTGGACGTCCTGGCTGGAATCTTTTTGGTCCCGGAGACAAAAGGACTATCACGAGAACAAATACAGGAGGCTTTACAGGGGAGAAGAAAAACATAATTTTATGATTTTCCACCCCAGTTGGTTTTGTGATTTTTAAGTTAGAATTTTTTGCTAGAGGAATACTTCCGAATAATATCACATCAAATATACTAAAACTCAAACATCAAAGGAGACGCCAAGAATCACCTTGATGGCTGGAAGTCTTCCATGATCCGTTTCACCAGACATTTTCTTTTGCGAACTCTGGAACTGTGGAATCGACTCCCGGTGGGGATCTTCAGGTATTTTAACAGTCTGCTTTAACTTCGTGTCGTCCCGATTCCTTGAAGGACTTTTCATTCGTTACTCTCTGGATCCAGCTGATGCGAAGCATGCGATGGCAATACCACATCTCAAAAGCTTCGAGGCGTCTTCTTGTGTCTTCTTCAATCGTCTACTGGCCAGATATAAGAGTCGAACCCTCAGTTTGATACTCATGTGGTGACAACATAGTTCTTCAGTTTATGAAAAGATGAAGTTCTTAACGTCTTTGATTCACTGGAACTATATCCATGGTTTTTGATTAATTAATTAATTTATTCAAGTTTACCACATCATACATAATACTATATCTACGGTATATGTTACATACTCTCATACAGAGTTTAGGTAAAGATAAATGTTACAAAAAAAAAAAGAATTTAAAATTTTTAATTGTATGAGTACTACATAAAATGTTTTGGAGAGAATAACGAATAATAGATAGACAATCTAGATAAAGAAATATTTATGTACATGACGAGAAAAGTAGAATCCTATTTCCACGATATTGTTGCCATGATGAAACAGTTTGTTTTCATATTTTGACGGTTATAATGTGTACGTTTTAGAATTAAACACCCTTTAACTGGATAAAAACATGATTAGTTGACAACAAACGTTAGTTTAAGGGTATACCTAAAATTAATTTATCTTTTTCTATCAGAGTGTTTACATTATAAATACGGAGTTAGATTTTATTTGTAAAATCATGATAAACTTATTTTATATAAGAATATTAAACCAAATTATTTTTTTTAGTAACATTAAGTAAGCGAAATAAATAGTATTTATGGCTTTAATTATATGCCTTATATTTAGACATAGACATGACATTTATTACTAACGAAACACACACAGAAACACTCGAAATAATAATAATAAAAAAGAACAAAATAACATTTTTTTCTTTTAAGGAACAATGTACGTTATAAGTGTGTAATGTGCGTGTGTTGTGGTTGTAACTGGCCCTGGCTCAGCATTGCTGAGGAGCAGACTGTTCCACAGCGCTGCACGCTGGTCATTCTGCCAGAGACCACAACAGCTAGTTTGGGCCTCAGTCATAAAAAAAATAAAAAGAATAAGCGTGCCGTATTTTTGTTGTGTTACGTTCATTGAAAATAAAGTTACCTATTGTCAGATACGGATTTAAATAGTATGGAAAAATGATGTATTATTATTAGCAGGCTTATACTAAAAAAAATATAGTATCTCTATTTTAATATAAGCATATGTCCCTTACTATCGAATTGTGTTTACGCTGTGATAAAATGAGACGGGAATTATTTTTATAGGTAAATATTATGGTACGTAAAAGGGCGGCAACGCACTCGGGAGCCCTCTGGCATTAAGACTGTCCCTGGGCTGCGATATGATTTACCATCAGCATTGGTGAGCCTCCAAGCCGTGTGCCCTCTGTTCTATAAAGAAAAGAGATGTTTTTTTTTTCACAGCGAACAACACGTAAAAATATTTAAGGTTTGATTTGTACGGAAAGAAATACCAAAAAAAAATGACGTTAACTGCCAGTTCTTAGCGGCGAAAAACGGAACGAGAAGAACTGGCAATAACTGTTGAGGAGGCCTTGCCTGTTTGAAGCAATTAATAGAAATGCTTTTGTTAACCATAGTTCGTAATAGATATTATAAGACTTATAACATTACATTTTTGCATTTATAAGAATAAGTTGTGAATGTAAAGGCTTTTCCTTACAGCGTATTAATAGAAAAGAAAAGCTATGTAAAATAAAGAGATTTATAACCAGACAGGCTTTCATTTCAAACTTAAGGTTTTGTAAGACTTAGGATCCTTCAAGTAGAAAGAGCGTACCATTTCCTAAAAATATCTGAAATAAAATGCTATTATTAATATTATCTGCAGTCTAGACGGCATGAAAAACTACGAAAGTCATATTATGAAATATATAAAGCACGTGAGAGAAAGATATACAAATTACACATGTTGCTATACAAATAATGTGGCAAATATTTCCATATTTAATATTAATTAGTTTTGCGTCTTATGTACTACTGTGTTGCACTAACGTTATTTTATTTTGTTCCTGAAAAGGTCCCTGGAAAAGATCGCTCAAAAGCAATAAGGCCGCCCGTTACTTACTATTTAAATGTTATAATTTGTACTGATGTTTGCAACGATTGATAAAATAAATAAATTACCCATACCTGAACAATGTCTTAATAAAAAGAAATGATAAACACCTTGATTACATATTTTAATTAATAATAAAAATATCTACTCCTGTGAAATCAGCTAGAGTGAAACAACAATACACAGCAGCAACTTTATGCCATAACAGTTTATAGTAGCAGATGCAGCATAGCGCAGGTGCAGGTGACCAAGACCAATGACCAAATTGGGTTTGGTAATTTACGACATCGATATAGCGGCAATTTAGAGCACACAAACATATTAACATAGCTAAAATCTTCGTATAAAATAGAAAAAAATGGACAGTTGTAAAGATTGTATACAAATTTTGTCTACATGAAAGTGTAAAAAAGAAAGAAAGAAATCAGTTATAGAGGAAAATTTACTTTGAACTTGTAGCGATACTATCAGTACGATAACGTCCATGAGTCGCGCAAAGTAATTTAAGTTAGCCAATAGGACCCCTTCTTGACAAGAAAGGCCCGTATGTTCTAACGGATCCGAATGATCCAATCACCGTAGCCAATGACAAATTAAAAGCCGCAAAGGAAAATCAATGTCAGATTAGGGTAAAACCCCGCCTTCACCAAGGAACCCCGTACTTCGTACTTCACTCCAGTGAGCTTCCGTACTGCCATTCAGGCGATTGACCACCTCGCGATACCCAAAAGGTTCCTCACGATTCCTTCACCATAGGAGAGCGTGTTACATTCGCACATAGAGATAAAAGTTTTGGGTTGGGAATCGCGATCCCCAGGTCGTAGGTAGTATAGCGCCACTGATTTATTTATATTTTATCAGATAGATTATAGTATCTAAATCTTTAGTCTAGAAAGACAGTCTGCATTTCGTCTAACACTTAAACAAACTATTTATTTCTATTTCCAACCCGGTGAGTAAATAGCTTTCAGGATATTACTTTATTATTTTATTTAAATTTTGAAAAGCACGTCTTGTAATGGGATAAATGCAAGAATAAAATATTTAATACTTTTTTAATGCATTTTGAATTATTTTTTTATGAAATTTATTGTGTTGTTGATTGGAGTTATCTCAATAATCTAGATTTGAGTTCTACAAATTTTCAGTTCTAAGCTAGCAATTAAGCTAAATAACATAGAAATTTATGTTATGTATATTTTTATGGCGACTCTCATCCCTGAGGTCGTAGGTCCGATCCCCGGCTGTGCACCACATGAACTTTATTTCTATTTCTAACATTCGCTGGAACGGTGAGGTAAAACATCGTGAGGAAACCGGCTTGCCTTAGACCCAAAATGTCGACGTGTGTCAGACACAGGAAGCTGATCACCTGCCTATTGGCAAATGATCATGGAACAGATACATAACTCTGAGGTCCAGACCTAAGAAAAGGTTGTAGCGCCACAGATTTATTTTTTATTTTATAAGGAATTTTAAGCTTGCTGTACTTTTCATTAAAAAAACCAATTTGTCATATTAAATTTATGATAAAAAAAGATGTGATTGTTAACCTTCAAAATAACGTTGAGTTTATTTAGTATTTGCTACTGTTATGTGCAGAGTTTTATCATTATATAAATATTACATCTTGATGAATGTATAAATTAGATTTAAGACATATAGTAGTTGACTAAGGACAGTGGTGTTTCTAAGTAACAAAATTATTTAGTGAAATCAAGGAATTAAAATGGGAAAACTACATCAGTGTTATACAACCTTAGCGTGTATGTATTTATTTCGTATACAACAGCTTACATAAATATTTATTAAAAAACAATTATACTAAAGAGGCATAGATGGAATCTATATATCGACGTAGGAAAGCACATTTGCTGTAAGTAGACATATTGCAATTGTTCACCAGAGCCAAAAAACTTTATTAATTTCGGAAAAAAATTAATAGTGTCTGACCTATCCATGATATTGCTACCATTTTTGAAACATATATTTATTTAACTGCCAGTCACCATTTGCAATGTAAACTTTTTATCCAAAGTTAATATAAGTACGTGTTTGGCTAGTTACAGCAAACAGTTTTTTAAATCACAAACCTTTAAAACGCTGTAACTAAGGAAGAAAAATGTACGCGCGGAAATATTATCAATTTACAGGCGGTAAATATGCTGTATGCAGGAAATTTATGTATTTGGGTACTTTTAATTGCAATTCAAGATGTAAGATTAGTTTATAATTATGATTAGATCTAGAAATGCAGTGGGTCATTTGGTAATGTAATGTTTGGTTGAAATAAAATGTCGTAAATGGTAAAAAAAAAACCAAAACTGTAGGTTCCCTAAACTTGCTGTAAGTAAACGAATGTAAAAATCACACGCCGCTGAAATGCTGTAAGTAGCGTTAAGTTTTTAAATGGGAAGAAGTAAGTATTTCTAAAGAAAAAATGCAGATTTTCTTTTGCTGTAAGTGCAAAATGTCTGAAATGACTAGATTTTGGTCTACATACAGCATTTAATCTTGCTAAAAATAATATAAGTACGGGCGTTTTCAACGGCGTATATAATTTTTTTTCATCGTAGAGACACAGGACCCAGGTCATTCGATGCGGCTTCTGATTCTAATGGCAGGAAAAAGTCACTTTAGGTATTTTGTCTACTTACAGCAAATATGCTTTCCTACGTCGATATATAAAAGAAAAATGGTCTTCGTTTGAGGCTCCTTCACGCCTAAACCACTGATCGTATCGACATGAAACTACCACCATTCGATGCGAAATTTTTCCTAGATGGTTTATGGCTATTTATTTATTAAATTCCAACGTTCCTTCATTCTGTTCTTATTGCTGTTTTACTTTTATGAAAATTTATCCATACGGACTTCACCGCGGAAACATTCGGGGAGGCTTCCTAGAACCTCTAAACGTCAACATCTGTTAAAAACTCGATTTTCGAAATATTTCAATTTTCTTAGCGGGAAGTTAAAAAGAAGAATAATAAAAATATGAAAAAAAATAAAATAATGAAACATAAAATTTATTTTAATTCGTCCAGCAAAGCGGGCGCGAAACGGCTAGTACATAATATATACAAAAGGTTCATTTAAGCAAGGAAAAAATTAATAAAAAATATTAAATTATAGAAGTAATACCTAATTTTGAGCAGTGTTGGCCTAGTGGCTTCAGCGTGCGACACTCATACCTGAGGTCGTATGTTCGATCCCCGGCTATGCACCAATGGACTTTCCTTCTATGTGCGCATTTAACATTTGCTCGAACGGTGAAGGAAAACATCGTGAGGAAACCGACATGTCTTAGACCCAAAAAGTCGACGGCGTGTGTCAGGCACAGGAGGCTGATCACCTACTTGCCTATTATATTGAAAAATGATCATTAAACAGATTCAGAAATCTGAGGCCAAGACCTAAAGAGGTTGTAGCGCCACTGATTTATTTATATTTTATCAGATAGATTATAGTATCTTAATCTTTAGTCTAGAAAGACAGTCTGCATTTCGTCTAACACTTAAACAAACTATTTATTTATATTTCCAACCCGGTGAGTAAATAGCTTTCAGGATATTACTTTATTATTTTATTTAAATTTTGAAAAGCACGTCTTGTAATGGGAATTGGGATAAATGCAAGAATAAGATATATAATACTTTTTGAATTATTTTTTTATAGAATTTATTGTGTTGTTGATTGGATAGTTATCTCAATAAACTAGATTCGAGTTCTACAAATTTTCAGTTCTATCAAATATAACTATTGATGCGGTGATGGCCTAGTGGTTTCAGCGTGCGACTCTCATCCCTGAGGTCTTTTTATGATCTTTTTATGTACGTGTCTAACTCAAGGGTTGATAAGTATATGTCTATAAAATCAAATGTTCAATCTGAGGCCATGACCCTTATACGGTTGTAGCGTCACTGGACTATTATTATTATCAATTATGACTCTTACCATGGAGAGTGTTCAGAGGAGTTGTTCGGATTAATACCTGCAGCTGAGTTTCATCATCGGACGTCGAGGCAGAATACGAAATTCCACCTCGACGTCCGCCGTTCCACAACTGAGCGTTTTTCAAGGCAGTTTTTGCCGCGCACCACCTCTTTGTGGAATCAGCTGCCCACTGAAGTATTTCCGAACCAATTCGACTTAGGGTCCTTCAAGAAAAGAGCGTACCAATTCTTAAAAGGCTTGCAACGCACTCGCGAGCTCTCTGGCATTGAGAGTGTCCACGGGCGGCGGTATCACTTAACATCAGGTGAGCCTCCTGCCCGTTTGCCCCCCATTATATTTAAAAAAGAAATTACATATGTATTAATGACATGCAATTAGGAAATTACATAAATCAGTATTGTAATAATTTCAATTTTAATAATATTTAATAAATAAACCAGTAACGCTACAACCTTCTTAGGTCTGGGCTTCAGATTTCTGTATCTGTTTCATAATCATTTGTCAATCTAATAGGCAAGTGGGTGATCAGCCACCTGTAGCTGACACACGCCGTCGACATTTTGGATCTAAGGCAAGCCGGTTATCTCACGAACTTTTCCTCGACGGTTCGAGAAGAATGTTATGCGCATGCGTTCAATAATAATAATTAGAGAATACAAAATTCAAATTTGGAATTTGAAAATAGGTAAAGCCTCCACATTGTTTGATTTATTAGGTGCAATGCACTACAGGATTAGAGAATTTTCATCAGACTCAAAGGGATCAATATTCATACATTGTTATCATTAGGTAAATTTACTATGTGAACAATACGAGCTAACATTATTATCATAATATTATGCCAAAATAAATACTATTGTGTAACGAAAATAACTTTATCAAATTTTTCTCGACATCTTGAAGCTTATATGGTTTACATATTATTTTATCAAAGGACAGATTAGCTTATGAATAGACTACTAAGTACATACAATAATTTAAAAAGGATTTGAAATACGGGAGTCGCACGGAGTCTTGACTTGAAATTTGAACCTGAAGTAGTTTATATATTTACAGATACAGTAGTTTTATATTTTCTATCTACTTTATGGCCATGGGGAAAATTCTTCTGTGGGCGTACCCTATACAGGTAAGAACGACCAGAGACTATAGAGTTTGGGTAGTGGTTACTTGGACAGGTAACAGGTATAATAGTACCATATATCCAGTCAACTTCCATTTTAAGTTTTCATATTTTTTGAAACACGGCACTGCCGTTAGTTTTTTTTCTTATTTTTGAAGTTGTCCATCGATCCCGTAGTCTTTCAAGTATATTAAGCATGCTTCTTTCCACGTTCCGTTGACAAACTACTAGTTTTTGGTTGTTTTTGCTCATCGCAGGCCAAGTTTAACATCCATAAGTATGACATGGATGTGTTATATAATTTGCTTTTCATTGCCATATGAATTGTTTCCGTTAGTTAAGTTACTGAGTTTTTAATAATACATCACTTATTATAGCATAGATCACTAATAAGCAAGATTTGGATCTATAAATCTGTTACAGGTGTCTTCGGTTCGTTAATATCAGCTTCATTATCAGTATGGCCATCGTACACTCTCGCGGAATTCACCTCAAACAGCACGACAGTTCTGTCAGCGCCTATGTCTACCTTTGAAGCCTCTCTCTTGGGCAGTCTGCCCGCCCTAGGAGCTATGGTAGGAACGATGATGGCTGGCATGATCATTGACGGACTTGGAAGAAAGAATGGTGGACTTGTTATTGCAATGCCATATTTGGTAAGTTGTGTTAAAATATGAGAAAGAAATACATTTATTAACACAAAAAGAGTATAACGGAACAAGTTACAAAACCTATATTCTTCAGTCGCACTCTTCATTTTTGAAGGGCGTGTTAGTGGCGCCGCTCAACTTTCTCCACTCTCCCTTTCTCTAGCCTCTGTACCTGGACGATGGTAAGACCTGTAAGGGCCTTTACCTGAACGGTCCAGCGAATCTGCTTTGAGGTCTGGTGTCCTCTGCAAGTCACGATGAGTTTTTCTACGATAACTGGATCTCTTCGTGTTACATATCCAAAAACCTAGTTTTCCAATTACAGAGCATAATGCGACTCAGTGGCGCACAATGCCACATCTTTGTGATTTTAATGTTGATGAAATGAAAAAACGACAGACAAAAGAGACGGACACATAAATTCATAAGATTTAATGTGGGAGAAAATGAGATACGAAGCATTTTACAGTGTTTAAACTTATGAATTTGTGTCTATCTCTTTTTACTGTCGCTTTTTCGTTTCATCAACTTTCAAACTTTAATTATTTTACTTTTTATCAAAATGTAAATATTATTAATAAACTTAAAAATTCGAAAGACGAGCTTGCCTTCTTCTTATTTCTATATCTTCTTATTTTTGATTCATCGAAAAATCACTGTTTGCGACGACGGTGTTTGGCGTATTCACTACGATGAAGAAGTTTAAAACACAGACGACGCCAACATCGTCCAATTCATAAAATGCAACAGGCTCAAGTGGTTTGGACAGCTTGATGACCAAATCGCGGACGACAGAACCCCAAGATCCTTACTGAACTCATAACCTGGTGGCAAGAGAAAACCTGGTGGCAAGGGAAAACCTGGTGGCAAGAGAAAACCTGGTAGACCGAGGCTGCGTTGGTGGGATGGAGTCGTCAAGGACCTCAAAACAATAGGGGTCCGAAGTTGGACGCAAAACTAAATAGATTGCGGGGCCGATATATACTTGAGAAGGCTAAGGCCCACAAGGCTGCATAGCTATTGATGACGATGATATTATTATGACTTGATATAAAAATGGGGAATTAAATAGACTCAAAAATGTATAGGTTCATAAATCATTGGTGTCACACAGATATCTTGTCCGCTTATATTCTTTTCAGCTGGTAGAAGTTAAGTTATAAATTCCAATGTAAAAAAATCCTCTTTAATTGATAATTAATCATACCTTTGACCACCTATGTTGAACATAAAACCAGAGGTACTAAAACTAATAATTTCGTTGGGGAGTTTTCATCATCCATTTCGAGTGCGTTGTCGGCCAGTTTTTAAAAGGCCGACAACGCACTTGCGAGCCTTCTGGCAATGTGAGTGTCCATGGACGGCCGGATCACTAACATCAGATGAGTCGATTGCCCGACTGCCCTTTGTCACATAAAAAAAATCTATGTCTACAACACAAATATTTTAATACTGTAAAATGTTTAAATTTCAGCTCTCCTGGCTTGTAATAGATTTGACGTCATCTTCCCTGGTGGTACTGATCTGCCGCTTCGCCGCGGGCATCTCTACCGGTGCTGCATCAGTCCATGCTCCAATTTTCATATCTGAAGTCGCCGAGGAGTCTATCAGAGGAATGCTAAGCTCAGGTAGAGGAATAGATCGAACAAAAACTGTTAAAAAGTTTTATGTTTTGATTTTGTATCCATGGGCGGCGGTAACACATTACACGAGCCACCTGCCCGTTTGCCCAGTTGTATTAAAAAATGTTACAACAGAACGAAACATTAGTTACGCACAAAATCAAATTTCTATTCGATGCCACAGAAACACCTGACAGTATGTATCATGTGTAAGATACAAGGAACGAAGAAGATATCAAATAGCCACATCTTCCTTGCGTCTTTATCCTTCAGTGTAACACAATTGTTTAGCTTATAAGCTTATCAAATCACAAACGACACTTATAATTAATAATAAAGACGGTATATATCGAATAGCCTGGATGATTCATTTTTGATCTGAGAGTCACACTCAGAAGCCACTAGGCCAACACTGCACCAATACTCTATTTTATTTCCAGGTCCTATTGCAGCTTATTGTATCGGTGCCATGTTGTCGTATGTGATGGGCTGGACATTGACGTATCAGTACATAAACTGGTGCAATATGGCGTTATGTATTACGTATATTATTCTTTTGGCTTCTGTAAGGGAGAGTCCTGTGTATCTGATGAGGAAGAATAGAGAAGAGGTTAGTAATTTATTTAACAGGACAGTTTTGTTCCCATAGAAAATTTAATGTTACATAATTTATTACGTAGCAGCGTAGTTTTAAAACTATCAATTTATACACATTTTTGTGTGGAAACCAAACTTAACTCGATCGCTGATAAAAACCGATTCAATAATTTTTCTACTACATTAGAGGTGATACGAATAAACGTCTGCCAATTATACAGGGTGGCCAAAAAGTTGTGGATCAAACGCAAATAGGGGATGAGGGATAGATGAGGTCATCAGTTACAAAAAATTGTTCTACGGGAGGTCTCTAAGCTTTTTCTCTATTTATTTTGCGTTTTTATAAGAAAATTGACTTTATTAACTAATTCTTATTGAAATTCGAAAAAATCTACACCTGTATCTTTTTCATAATACCCAGTAGATTGGTACTGATGAGTCCTTACGTTAGACAGACAACTGGGTAAGCGAGAAACCTCTATTAATGACAGTATTTACCGGGTCCCGTCATTTTGCCCTCCTAAAACCTCCATAAATGAGAAACATGAAACTTACATAAGTGACACTTGTATAAGTGAGATTGATACTTGCCTTTAACTCTATAAGCGACAGTTAAACGCATTTAACTTTTAATATTTATGACTCATTCTTCCATTTCGAGAGACTCTTATTTCATTCAAACTAAATCAGTTATTGTTTTATAGCCTTCTATATACAGATCCCTTCTGTAACTCTGTAAGCTATAAACTCGGGTTAGTGAGAAACCTCTTTAAGAGAAAAAGGGGTCGCGGTTTGAATGTATTTTCAAAAGAAAACAGCAAAGTTAGCGAGCACCTATTCCGTAAGTTTAGTGTAAATAACATTTTATTAAGTAACCTTAATTATCTATTAATAACCAAATTCTAGGTTATTAATAGATGGTCCCGGTAGAATGCGACAGCGACCCCGGAGCCACTGTAACGCGGCTTTGTCGGAACTACTCGAGGTGGTTTTAGTGGGTATTGCTCACCCAGTCTCTGAATAGCAGAGATTTTGTCGTGGGTCGAGTCCCACATACCCCTGTTCAGGGAATGCGCAAATGCATTTCCACCTCGGATATCAAAAAAAAAATCGGTTATTAATAGATAAATAATTCAGTTTCGTGTTTCAAATAGTGTACAAAACTCTGGTACGAAACATCTTGGAATATGGCGCTGTAGTCTGGTCCATCTACAGAACTTTCATTAGCAGGAGCTCAAAGGCAGTTTTTATCAACTTTGTGTGCCCATATTTAACTTAAAATATTCGCTTTAAACCTATGCCTCTTGATTTAAATGGTTTTACCTTGTTTCATCTGAATTGCGATGTGACATCATGTAGTGTATCTTTACAAGACAATGCATAATTCATACTGAATTGGTTGCAAAAATCCGTATCCACTGCAGGACACTGTTGGCTAGAATCAAATATTCTACACGCCTATCTCCCGTTTAATAATTCAGTTAGCAGATTGATTTTGATAAATTTGGTGGCGCTATCGGACAGATGGCTAATATGTATTAAATCATCAGGATGCCCGTCAAGCCATAGCTCACTACAGAGGAGGCTCTGCTGATTCAAAGGCTGTGATGGAGGAGCTTTCTCTGCTTAAGCAGCGAGTGCAGCCAGCACGCGAGATGTTACCTATTAATGGTGAGTAAAAATTAATATTTTAACTACATACACTCGGCGTCAAAAAATCGCACCTTTCCTAAAATTCGTGGGTCATTCGCTATCCAGACGACACAGAAGTCACACCTGAAGAGCTCCGACAAGAAAAAACCCAGTGAAAATGGATACCACAGCAGAAGAAGCAGCTTCAGTGGTGGCCCTACTGCAAACTGGCGTAGTCCGGTTGAAGTTTCTCGGCAACCGAATATCGGCCGATTTCGAGTGCAACGGGTATGCCGACGGTTCCAAGAGACTGGAGGTTTCATCAGGAGACATGGATTCGGGAGACGTCGCTGTACTACGTGCGTCAGAGATGATCGCTACATTGTGTCGATGTTTTTGCGGAACCGCTTCTTCAACCCTGTGGAGCTGCAGCACCGGCTTCGAGCTACTGAAGGACAGCAGTCAGCGTCTCCACTATAAGAAGAAGGCTGCGAGAGAAGACACAGCGGTTTCTTCTAGCAACCCGAACATAACTTAAAACCGAGCTTTAAACTACTCAGTGTACAAATAAACACATAGGCTTTATACATACACAAATTACCTATATAGTCATAATTTGAAGAATCAATAGAAAAGTAGCACTGAAAATGTCGTATAAAATTACATGAAAAAGCGTGGCTAGTTTTTTTTTAATTAAAAATATTCGGAATAACTTTTGTTTTCAGACACAGAAGTTGAAAAAGCAGAAAAGGAAATGTTAAACGACCACGATGTAGATGGAAAGAAGAAAATGCCATCATACAAAATGTTGAGTAAGTATAACAACTATCAAAATAAAAATTATAGAAAAATATCTTTACTAAAGTACTGCACGTTTCATCATAAAGGGAAATATAATATTTGTTATTACCAATAAATGAGGGGCCTTATTTCACAGTAATGAATGTAGGTATGAAGTTAAATACAAAAAGTAATTCCAAATAATTCAATATTTAAAAAAAAAACAAATTCTTGTCATATAAAAGAACCAATTCAATTTAATAGCACAAATATGTATTACGTAGTCAGAGATTGAAGAACAGACCTCTAAATCTCCAGTCTACTGAGTACTTAATGTAATTAGAAATTAAGTGTAAACTCTTTGTCTTTCGTTAAAAAGAAGTTAATTGATTCATATTATAGTCAATACTTATACTGTTCTATCACTACATCATCACATTATTAAAATATATAATTACTTTATCAAAAAACTCAAATAATCATAAATAGGACAATACATTTTTTCCAAAAATTTGTATATTAAGTCGATTTCTAAAAACTCTAGTAAGAAGATTTTTGAATGTTTTTGGTAAATTATTATAAACCTTGATTGCCATACAAAAGGTGTTTTACCTATACAATTGCAGATTAATTTTTGTCATATCCAATTTGTTGAACTAGATAAAAATTATCCCGTGGTATATGTTTAAAACAACAAGAAAAAGTAGTAAATGGAACTCTATTTTATAAAAAAATTGTTTCAGTGGTATCACCATCATCGCGGCGAGCGTTCATCGTAGTTGGTGCTGTAATATCCACACAGGTACTGTACGATTCAAGGATGTTCATTTTGCTCACACAGGTTCTCTTATAAGCGCAGGCTAGACGTAGGTCGTAGGTTCGATACCCGGCTGTGCACCAATGGACTTTCTTTCTATGTGCGCATTTAACATTCGCTCTAACGGTGAAGGAAAACATCATGAGGAATCCGGCTTGCCTTACACTCAAAAAGTCGACGCCGTGTGTCAGGAGGCTGATCACCTACTTGACTATTAGATTGACAAATGATCATGAAACAGATACAGAAATCTGAGACCTAATAAGATATGTAGATGTAGTGCCACTCATTTATAATGAGTGAAAATACTATCCTCTGTTAGAGCATCCTCTTACCCCGGAAGAGGAACATTAATTATTAATTAGTTGTCTCTTTTATTTCAATTGCTTTAAATAGAGACGTCATTAACAACATAATATGTGTCTAAGAATATTGTGTGCAAGCTACAACTGTTTCTTAATCGATAAGTTCAAAGTAGGAATTGCTATTAATTGTAATGATTTTATTCTTACTTCACTCTTTTCTAGGTTATGATGGGTATGGTGCCAGTCCAGGTGTATGCAAAAGATATCTTCACCCAAGCAGCTCCCAGCCTTTCGTCTCACCTCTGTTCTGTCCTTTTTGCACTTGTCCTGATGGGAGGAAGTATGTCCAGTGCGTTATTCTCCGATAAATTGGGGAGAAAAGTATGGATTTTTATTAGTATCTCTGTAGATATAATTATGTTATGAGACTGTGAGAATTTGGAGAATCTAATCGTGGTTGGTAACACAGAAGGAAAAAAGATAACGTTGCCGTTCATCAACCAAGTGAAATACTCATCGTCCTCAAAACTGTACACTGTGAGAGAGACGTTGGACTGAAAGCGGTGATTACAGCCGGTTAAACAGAAATTAGATTATCGCAGCCTGTATTGGGAGATTTTATATCAAACTATAATTTTTATAAGTAATTAACAGAAATATACCTGTTTACACCTACACTAACACTTTTAAAATTATTTGCATAATTTCCTTACGTAAAATTAAATTAAAAGATATATAAATTAATTAATTACAGGTGTGTGGCAAATTTTTCATAGGCAACCTATCACTTATGCATTGCATACTCCGTCACTAATCATTTAAAATTAATTAACTAAAGCTGCCGAATGTCTGTGAACTAATAGTTTTTTTTTGTATGGGCGTACACGCCAACTTACTTCTTGATATAATACAATAAAATAGACGTAGAAAGTCAGTATAAATTTAGCACGACACTTTTACTTTCAGCCCCTACTTTTAGCATCAGCCATCACAGTGGGAATCTGCCTGGTGGCGATGGGCTTCTTCATGCAGACCAACATAGCACCACCTGCTGTTTCAGCGATTCTCATTTTGTTCTACTGTTTTGCTTTCATGCTCGGAGCAGGCACAGTACCTTACATATTGTTGGCTGAAGGTTTCGTAGCAGAGGTAATTAATATTAGGTAGAGAGAGAATGATATTTTATATAGAACAGAGACCTCTGCAGTCAGATAGTGAAATGCGTCACTTACTGCAACAAGAGCGAAGCGGAGGCGAGACAACGGGCCTTCACTCGCCTATGAATATAGAATAGGCATAGTAATATATTATATAAATAAGGAAACTTCTTTATATATATAATTTGTACAAAATATGTGTATAGGATAAAGTCCCGCATCACAAGAGTCGGGGATCACAAATGTCGAAGGTTGTGTAATTAAGATAACATAGATTTGCCATAGGCAAAATAAACTAATTCTATTAATATGTACAGTGTAAAGTCTTTATAACGAATTTCAAAGGACCGAGCATATTTTTTTGTTATAGAGAGTATTCGTTATACGGCAGGAAGGAAAAAAAACAAATTTAACTTATTACAATAATGATATATATAATAGATAGGTGACGATGGGGCGTTTAGTAACTGAGACCAAAATTTCCAACAGGCAATGTAATCTATGAATTTAGCACACGTGTTAATACAATTAACAATTAAAAAGGCGAGAAGGCTGTTATGACCTTAGGTGTCTTTCTTAGAATTTTCGGCACCTCAATAGGTTAGTTTTATAAGCTGATTATAAAAACAATTATACTTTAGTATGCTGTTGATGTCTAAAATATATGAAAATATTTCTTCGTAATAGGACCGGCTGTTGCGTTATAAAGAGTGAATTAATATATGGGTTTTGTGTTAAAACAAACAAATTTGACTCATTTTTACGTTATAACGATTGACGTTATAAAGAGTGTACACTGTATTTATAAAATATTTTATTTATTAATAAAATATTAATTTCAGGTGCAAAGCTTAGCTTCAATGATACTAATGGAGTGGGTATGGCTGCTCAACTTTTTGATACTGGCAATATTCCCGTACATGGTGCAATTCTTTGGCGTGCACGGATCTTTCTATTGCTTTGCTGTGTTCGCTGTGGTGGACGTACTGATTGCTGTTTTCATGGTACCAGAGACAAAGGGACTGACGAAGGAACAGATACAGCAAGCGTTTTTGGAGAGGCGGAAAAAATAAAATATATTAACACTATTTTTGTTTATTTATTACAAATTTTATCATAATACGTAATACCGTACAATGGCGGTTCCAAGTTTGCGACAGTAACGCAACGGATCTTGAGAGAATTACTTTCGTCTAGTGAATTTTTATTCGGGTAGGAGGCTCATCTGATGTTAAGTGATACTTTTATTTTTAATGGAACATAAGATACATGTATCACTTATTCCACGTCATTAAATTTGAATTTGTAGGCATCCCTACTCATCGGCAAAGAAGACAGAGGGTGAAACCGAGAGAAAAAGCCGGCGTAAAAAACTCTCGGTACTCTTTGCCGGCCATGGACACTCGTCTTGGACATCTTTACGGATGAAGGAAACCTAGTCCGTGAAGGTCGTGCGTTCGAATCACAGCTGTGCAATGGAGTTGCCAAAAATGGAAACCGGCATGTCTCAAATACAAAAATCGACGACATAGCTATAGTCTATATAGTCGAACGCTTTCAATCTGAGACCGATCCAAGGGCTGCAGCGCCACTGGTATATCACATAGAAATAAGGGTTTGTTACACTACGTCATTAAAGTTCTAAGAGGAAATCTGAAGAATAATGTTTTATAAATCAAACCACGTATGTCAAAACACCATTTGTTATTTATTATTAGACTCTTATGTCATTTAACTGGTAATAAGTCCTTTTTACCATCCAAAACTATGGACAAATCACATAATAATATTTTAACGAACATTGACGGATTGAAACATTTTTGTTTGGTTCTCTGGACATACGAGGTTATCATTCTACAGCGACGATATTACAAAGGGTTTGGTTTGCTGCAATTGAAGTGTGTGAATTTTTTTCGTGTTAGACATTGAGAAAAAGGAGATTATTAGATAGCCATGGAGAGATTCGGCGGAGATCTAATAGAGCTGAGAGTTTCTTCTCAAGAGTGTGAGTCAAAGAATATTGCAATATCATATAAATTTATATAAAGGTACTCAAACAGGTTTCTCGCAGATTTTGCTAATATTTTCAGCAGGCGTTATCGTTTAATACGTGTCTAAGTCTCAGTTGAACCACTTGTATGTATTGAATGAAGTTAGTACCGTTGTTACTATGGTTGCAATGTGATGATACAAAAATAATGGTAACCATAGTAACAAATGATCTTGTGATAGGACCCATTGCGTTTACATGTATAGAAAAAACAGTGCCTGCCAAGATTTTAGCAGCAATGTTTTTTGATTGCTGCTTCTAAGAATATAGATTTAGAATGAATTAAAAAATAGTCTATCAAATAGCTGAGTTTTATCATCAGACGTCGAGGCAGAATACGAAATTCCACCCGTATTACCACCTCCGACGTTTTAAGGCAGTTTCTGCCGCGCATCACCACTATGAGGAATCAGCTGCCCTCTGAAGTATCTCCGAACCAATTCTAGTTAGGGTCCTTAAAGAAGATAGAGTACCAATTCTTAAAAGGTAGGCAACGAACGATCCCTATGGCATTGAGAGTGAGGTTAATTACATTACTAAAAGATATCTAAGGGAGCTTTCAAGTATTAGGTCACGCAATTTTTGGAGATTTTTGACCCCCCCCATGTAACGCGCCGTAACGATTTTCTGTACCCAAGTATAATAAAACGTTTCGTGACCACCTAGTGACTCTTTATTCCTAAAAGTTACTATTATTTTTTTTTTTTTTTTCAAAAGGCACACTAACGAAACACATACAAACACTTACAGAGAACACATAACATAGAAAACAAGATACATGCATCAATAACAAGTGTGCACAACATTTATAGGGAAACATTACAATGATGAAGAGAAAATAACTTCAACATTAAAAGTAAAAAACAAACTAGATTTAAAAAAAATACAAACATGCAATTTACAAATACACATAAAAAAGAAACAATAATTTTCAACTTTGCAATTATCACTATTGGTCACGGATCAACATTGGCTGCAGCATCTTACGCCTGAAGACATGGAGACTGTCACTATTATGTGGTGTAAAGTACTGGAAAGTCGAAAATAATACTAAAAATAACGCGTAATTCAATCCCCGCCCCGCATCGTAACGTTTTATAAAAGGGAACCCCCCCCCAATTCGTTACGTAATACTTGAACACTCCCTAAAAAGTTTGTCGAAATGTTAAGTAATAGTCGAAGTTTATCATTGTTATACATAAGTTATTACATTGATGTTTATTAGTAATTATAACAATCAAATATACAATATTTACAATTTTGTTAACCTACATAGTAATAAAAACGTGTGGCACTCGGGGACTGCCTCGGTAAAGCTAGCATAGCATTTTTATCAACTTATGCAATTATAATTATTTATATATTTTTTATGTATGCAGTATTTGATATTTTCAATCTACTACTCTACTTGTCTAGTCTGTCTCACTCTAACGCGTACGGGTTGCACAGGCCGCGCTTACACTACGTCACCGATCTCATCAGAGAGATGTGAGACGCAGTATGCGTTCTATCCCGCACTAACACGTATTGGCGGCACCTATATTACGTCATCGTGTGTTAGGTTTATTTTCGTTACGGAATTTCTTGATTCGGTCGCCGCGCTCAAAACCCGCGATCTATACAATGGCTTAGTAAAACTTAAAATAATGAAAACTTATAAAATGTTAAAACGTGTTCGTGTTCTCAACACACTGTTGAGTATAAATCTTACAAACGATTTTTATGTTTGCGCTGACACAAATCGTTCCGAATTCTTGTGCACACAATGCAAGCCTTTCACCTTGAACATCACAAATACACGCAAAATCATATAAGCTTTTGTTAACAGTAAATCTGTGAGGTTATAAAATATTTAACCTAAATAAGCAAAACTCGGGTTTTACTTAACAGCTGCGCCGAAAAATTCGTAGGCTATCATAGAAAAAACCGTTTTTTATAGTTTTTTATAGATATAGACATAAAATTAATTACTAACAAAACACACACACAGAAACACACAAAATAACAATAATAAAAAATATAAAAAAAATGAAAGATAACAATTTTTTTTTTCTTTTAAAGAACAAGATACGTTTTAAGTGTTTAGTGGGTGTGTGTTGTGGTTGTAATTGGCTCCCAGCATTACGCTGAGGAGCAGACTGTTCCTCAGCGCTGGTCATTCTGCCAGATACCACAGCTAATAGTTTGCGCCTCAGTAGTTTTTATATGGTTGTTCAATACAGTTGCCTTCGACTGTATTGAACAACCATAGGCTTCAGTTTTGGCGATTACCCCTTCATCAGAGAAAAAATTCTGTCCAGAGAGCATTATGAAACTATGTTTATATATATAATTAAATATATAAACAATACAAATAATAAACAGATTTTCTATGGAGGTAGACCTATTTGTTTGTACCCTGGCTGAGTTCACAAGAGTTGCATGCTATAAATATAGTTAAAAGATCTAGGTATATCTTATATATAAAATTCTCGTGTCACAATGTTAGTTACCATACTCCTCCGAAACGGCTTGACCAATTCGTATGAATTTTTTTATGCATATTCAGTTAGTCTGAGAATCGGACAACATCTATTTTCCATCCCCCTAAATGTTAAGGGTGGTCCCACCCCAAAATTTTTATTTTTTAGACAAAAGTTTTTTTTAATGATACAGCATACAAAAATACATGCAACCCTTAATATCCACCCCACTACGATCAACCCCTATTTTTTATTATAGTAGATAGTTATTTTTATTGAACAAAATTTTTTTTTCCTACGAAATACATGGCAAGACGACGTTTGCCGGGTCAGCTAGTACAATATAAATGTTTAATTTTGTTTAATTGTAGGATAATCGATATAGATATTATTTTGTCACTCTATCACATTAATAGTAACTGTTATTAGATAGAATAAGAAAAATAATTAAATGTTCTATATTTGCTATAAAATTATTTGTCTAACCGTCTCTATTGGACTGTTAACAAGTCACAACAGCCTTACGATTCTGTAACTCACTTTTCGAACTCTCACAGCGGTTTTCGCAGCGGCGGTCGCGCTGAAATCAGTCGTGAAGCAGTCATTTTACGATTTGGCATTATAATTAATAAACTACAAGCTCCCTCCTCATGTGAGTTACATAATCGTAAGGCAGATAACATTTTCTGAATATGCACTTATAGCTACTCAAATTGCGAGAGCCATGGATGGGTGAAATCGGCGTGTAATGGGACCAGTAGACATGGAACAGAAAGTCTTACTGAAAAAACCTCATCTCACTCTTAGCAGATGAAGAGGCCGTATCTGCCGGGAGGTTCTATGTAGGGTGTCAAAAGATGCTGCAAGCAGAAATGGTGGCAAGTGAAATGGTGTTTGGCTAAATATCCAGTCTTCAATAAAGCCTCCAGTATTTTGAAAGCTGGAAGTAGAAGGTTACAAAAAAACCGTCTCCATTATTGTAATTAGCATGGAGTAAATAACAAATTTAATTCCCTGGTGGGAACGGTGATTTCTACCTCGTATGATACTGTTAGAGGTCTGACCAAAAGTGACTCTCATCCCAGAGGTCGTAGGTTCGAATCCCGGTGCCCCAATGGACTTTGCTTTCTATATGCGCAACACTCGCTCGCACGGTGAAGGAAAACTTTCTGAGGAAACCGCCAAGCTTTCTACGGCGTGTGTCAAGTACAGCAGAAAACCTACTTAATTCTGACAGAGCCTCAGATCTAAAAAGTCGTAGCGCCAGTGGTTTTGTAGCTCTTAAATTCAAGTAGTTAAAATTAATATTGTTAGAACTTTGTAAGACCGATTATTATGTCCTAGCTTTGTCATAAAATTCAGTGTATAAATATATATTATTTATTCCGAGCGATAAGTACACTGGTTGGATCTAGACTAGCGAACATGACAACAAGGCAAACGGTTATAACTACTAACAATATGATGTGACTACAATAAATTATCAAGCCTTTTTCCCGAAGGAGTAGGCAGAGACCGTGCTTCTCCAGTTCCTACGGTCCTGACATACCTCTCTTGCTTC